AAAGTAAAGTGAGAACTCTAGCAAAAAGGCCCAAGTGTGGAGAGGGAGGCGGGTGAGGGCATCCGGCAATGTGGCAATGTGGGCCTGAGAGCAGATGTCCCTTCTTCGAGATCCACCACCATCCCAGGGGAAAGCAAGTAGCAGAGGACACCGAGCCAGGGTGGTAAGGGCAGGAAGAAAGAGGGATGGGGGAAGAGGTGTGCAGGACCCAACTGCAGGTCACAGGGGTTTTCCGGCCCAGGGAGATGGACACATCCCTTGAGCACACACTTCACGGAACAGCTACAGCCTCTGGGACACAGATTCAGGATCGGGTGCTGAAGGGTCAAGGGATCTGTGGTTCCACCTGCATCTGATGGAAATGTTCAGCTCTCTGCCCCATCTCTGTCTGAGAAGGGGGCTGAGTCTCTGGGGCGAGACGGCCTTCCCCCAGCCCTTGAACTATACAGGGGGAGGAAAAGGCTGCCAGCATGGTGGCCCATCTGGCTCGTCCACCTGCTGTCGCTGCAGCCAGCCACCTCCCTGCTAAATCTTGGCAGCCCAGGAGGGTCCCAGCAGCTTCCACCCGGCCCTTGGGAGGGGCTCTGTGAGGAGCAGCTCCGCCACAGCACGGCCACGGCGTGGGTTGGAAGAGGATGGTTTATTGTCTGGGTGGACTGGTGGCTCAGGCACGTGGGCATCTTCCATGCTACACTGGGTGCCTGGTGGCCTTTCAGGAATGGCTCCGTGGGGGCAGGCCCCGAGTGGCCCCCTCAGCCCACCTGGGCCCACGTGAGGAAGGCTGGGATGTCTCGAACAGGCACATTCCTTGTCAGCGCCTTCACACGGAGGTTCCGGTCATCGGTCAGCAGCACCACCTCCCGCAGTAGCCGGATGGGCTCCTCTGTTGGCACAAAAGAGCAGAAGGGCTTCAACAGGGCGAAGCAAGGGCAGAAGCACTCCAGGGGAAGGTGTTCCAGGTGACTGAGGGCTGCCAAGTCCTCTCTCTCGCCCGGCCCCTCTCGCCCTCACTGGCTGAGAGGGGCCCAATGACTGGCATTCCCAGGACTGAGGGGACGGAAGCAGGAGCCCCTTCCCTTCTGTTCCTTCAGACTGCGGGGCCCGTGCTGGGACCCTCTGCACACCCTGACCCTCCGAGGTCAGTGCGAGGTCAGTGCACCCAGACTTTCGGTATCAAGAGAAACTAATGACGGATGAGAAAGGCACATGGGGGAGGGGTCAACTCGAGAGAGCCCTGATGGGCGAGGGGGCGTCAAGGGAATCCCTGGGTAGTGCAGTGGTGTCCAGGTAGCCCTGAGGCTATGTGCACAGGGGGATCCATGTACAGGGTGCAACTCTCCAGCCACGCAGAAGTGAAAAAGAATGTCAAGTCCAGGCCAACCTCCTCAAACTCTTCCTTCAGGCACCCGTCTTGCTCTGCCCCACACACACACCTAGATGTGTTTTCTTCCAGACTCTGCTGTGTACACTTGCAAGTTTTCGTACTTGTTAAGTTTGGTCCCCCTCACAACACTGGGCTTATGTTAGCTAAGTTGACCTATTCTAGCTATATGCTGTTTACTTATTCAAGCTATATGCTTTAAGATCGTTCTAAGGTGACACAGACAGATAGCCTTTGTTTGTGCTAAGATGCTTGTTTTTAGCATGATCTTTCCTATACCCTTAATTCGTCAATGTATTTGGGAGAATTTAAACCAGGGGCCAGTATCACGTAAATGACACCTCTACCCCTGGCAAGCCCAGTTGGGTGGCAGGCCCACTCCTCAGTGGTAGGCTGCCTGCTTCCTGCTGGCGGTCTGGACAACACTGAGGTGCAGGAAGTGTCCTGTGGTGGCACTGGCTGTGTGGGCTGGCGGGACTGGCGGGCTGCAGAGAGCCAGCCCTGCCCTGAACAGTTTTAGGCCTGCCAGCTCCAGGCGGGGAGGTTGCAAATTGGCTGTCAGCCTTGGAGGGGCGGCACCTGGTGCTGATGGTGGTGAGAGGTGGGAGGCGGGGAGGTGGTGTGATGGGAAGAGGCAAGGAACTGGGGTGGGCAGACAGGAAGAGAAGGGAGGCCATGGGCCACCATGGGGATGCTATGAGGCCACTTGAGTCTGAGCTGGCCCCGGAGGGGTGTGAGTGGTGCTGAGGTGGCAAGTGGGTCTCCCAGCTGGCTGCCCGCGTCTGGATGCAGCCTCACCAGTTCTGCCCTGGGGAGCCGGGGAGCCCCAGGCCTTAGGTCAGCCAGCTGAGGGCTGGTGTTGCTGGCAGGGGTCTGCAGGGGTTTCTGTGGATACGTGAGACGTTTTGAACAATAAACATCCTCTGTTTTGACACTGGTAACTTCACTTTGTTAGAAACCAGAGACTGTCATCTTGTCAGGCCCCATCCGCCATAATCCACATGATTTTAAAATTCAACATCGTTTACACATAAACATTTGGTGACGGTTTCTCTGTGAATCTGACAAGTTAATCTGCTAAGAATTTGCACTGACAAATGGGGTTTGATTACACCAGCCGTTGCTGATGTAATTCTGATAGGGGTGGTCCCCAGGATGGCAATGGGTCCCTGTAGGCTGTTTGGGGTGAAGTGGGGGTGGGGAGACTAGTAAGGACACAGCCCAAACACATCTCTGCTCAGAAAGAAACTGCTCCGAGGCTGGGGCGGGGCCACGGCAGGCCCCTAACCACACTTCCCAGCAAGGCCTTTTGCAGCCCTGTCACCTCTGCCTCCCAGGCGGCTGTCCTGGCCACAGGACCCGCCAAGCATTGCCAGGCTGCCCCTGGACACTGGGGCAGCCCGAGTCAGGCCTGCCTGCGGGGCAGGGGTACAGCCCTGTGAGATGGGGCCCCCCGAGTCTTTGTGTGCACCCTCACACCTCTTCATCCCATGCCGCATTTGTTGTACTCAAGACTGTGTGTCTCACAGAGCTGGCTGTACTGGCATAAGCAGAGAGCCTTCATTTTGGGGCGATGACCTTTACAATGCGATCTCCCCTGCCTTCCCCTCCCCGCCAACTCTTTACTGTGTTGGGGAGCCTGGGCACGGCAGCACCCCTCCGATGAACAGCCACCAGAGGCTCAGGCAGCATGCGGGGCTGCTCTAGTGTGGGTGAGGCAAGGGTCAAGACACCCTCCTGTCTGAAAGCCAAGACTAGGAGACCCAAATGAGGAGAGAGAAGGGAGGCTGGTTGAAAGACAAAATGGGAAGACTCCACACATAAGCAGACCTGAAACTGGACAGATGACCGTGATCTACAAGACACTAGGAACTCCCTTCCCTGAAGAAGTGCCAGAATTCTGGGATCCCAGAGCGGACTACATCTGAGCCTCAGGGATCCCACAGGGCCGTCCGTATAGGAGGGCAAGTTCGAGGGTGAGGGGGTCAGGCACTTCACCTGGGAAGGGAGTCCCAGGAGGGATACCAAAAAGCTAGTCTTGAAAACTAGCTGGGGGAGGGGGAGCATGGCGGGGAGAGCGGCTCAGTCCCCACTCTCATCTCTCGCAATTCCAGTTAGCCAAGAACAGCAGCAGCTCACCAAGTACAGTCCGGGAAGGATGGACCCACCATTTACTGGGGACGTGCCTCTCCCCTAGGCTGATGCGGGTCAGCATCCAGAGAGGGGCTGAGAGGGGCAGGGACCCCTGGGTATTGTCCTCCTCAGGGATGCAGAGGGTTGGCTCAGGAGACCATGGCTAAAGGAAGCCCCGCTGACTCACAGAGAGTAGCCCGTGCTGTCGCAGAAACTCAGGCTGGCCCTCTGGGTTGGGTTCTTAGCTAGTTGGCCCAGCAGTGGACAGTCCTTGGTAGGGGGCTGGGGAGGTTTGGCCCCTTGCTGGCGTCAGCTTCGTGTCCTTCAGACGTCTCAGGTTAGTCAGGAGAATGTCCTGCTCTAGGGCAGAATGTGGGGAGGACGATGCCAAGGCAGATGCTGCCCAGGCCAGCTGTGATGCCTACCTTTGTTGGCAGGCATGAAGTCCTTTGCCTTGTCTTTGCAGTAGTGGAGGCAGCAGGAGAGGATCAGGTCATCGTTGTTGCCCTAGAGGAAGACAGTGTGAGAAGTGCCGCTGGGCAGAGGGGCTCTGGGTGGAGAAGGCAGAGGCATACGCTGCCTCTGGGGCTCTGGGGAGGCCACATCCCAAAGCACGTCCCCCCCTCCCCCTCCCCTGCTTAGCTGGGTCTCCTCAGTGCCACGAGTGATCTGGAGGACAAGGATTGCCTTCTATTGGACTTTGAAGTTGGCAGACCCTTTAGCTGACCTTCCTTCAGCCCCTCCCTTTTGAAGACCTTGTATTCTAAAGGGTGACTACGGGCGCTCCCCTGGCACTGGCGGGGGTGTCTTACCAGCTGGCCGGTGATGTCCTCACTGCGGAAGGCGATAGATTCGAGTTCGTTGCCACGGCTGGTCAGTGCCCTAAGGCAAGAGTCCCGACTCTCGAACCGCCGCTCTAGGAACTCAATGGATTTTCGGGCCTTTTCCTGTACCACACGGGCATAGCCCCCTGCCCGGTGGTCCGTCTCTTGTCCCTTGGCTAGGCCGTCCAGCTCATTGATCACTTGAGGAACAGGACGGACAAGGTCTTAGCCTCACGTTTGCCCTTACCCAAGCACGTGCATTGTCTCCAGTCACTTTTTCAGACCACAGAATCTGACCCACCCAACAGGTGTCTTCAATTGAACCTAGGGGTGGACTGGTAACTTGGGGGCAAGATCTACACCAGGCTCTCTTTCCTTGTGTGCCCTCCTCTTTCTGCTTCTTCCCCTTGGCCCTGCCCTCCTCCTAGGAGGGACTGAGAAGGGGTTTTCTAGGGCTGCTGTATCTAGAGGAAGACACCTGACTCCTCTACTGAGCTCCTTAGGATTGAGATTATGCTGAGAGGCCCCCGCGAGAGACAAGGGAAAGACGCCTCTCTCCCTCGTCTGCTGGGGATCCCAACAACAATGGCCCAGGAAGGGCTCTGAGGTTATTGTTGATGGTCACCTTTTCTGCACCCCCCATGGGAAGGTTTGGTGAAGTGACACATGGGAAGCAGTGCCCACCGATCATTTGGAATAGCGCTGGTATTCCCCAAACCATGCCCTTGGGCACATACCCCTCTTCTGATCCTGCAAGGGTAGTGGTAGTGGGGTAGCTGTGTGTCTGTCTGCTGCCTGCCTATGTGTCTGGGATGTAGCTTCATTTCTGGTGAAGATTCTTTCCAAAATTCCAGCCAAAAGCCTGAGGTCAAGTGGGAAATATGCACTCCTTGGGGGCTCCGGGAGAGTTTGGGGTCTAAGGCCTCTGCTCAGTGCAATGATTCATGGCTGAGGAGTTGGCAGAAGCATGCTCTCCATGGTGAGCCTGGCACTCACTGTCTGGGTATTCAGAGGCTTTCTGGAGAGGGCCCATGAGGGAATAAACTCACTCACTCACTCCGATGCCCATACACTCAGCAACCGGAGCTGCTGGTCCTATACAATGCATGGCTGAGGGTGTGGGTGGTGGTGGTGGGGGGTGCAGCAAACAGAACATCAAACAGGAAAAACTGGTATTCTATCCCAAAATCTGCTTTCCTGCTTCCAAGCTAAACAGGCTTCAAAGGGGAAGTGTGTTTGTGCTTCTGCACCAGGCAGGACTTCTTGATGCCGGGGTCAGTTCCGAGGAGCACAGAGCAGGTTAAAGAGCATAAGGACCGACAGGGAAAGCTGTAGGCTTAACTCTTTGCTGCTCCGGGCAGGGGCATGAAGCCATACGCAAAGCACTAGTGAACAGGAGTTCCTCGGGCCTACCTAGTGGGAGAAGGCTCCAGCCCCAGCAAATCTGGCTTTCCCCGGTGGCGCCCACGTGCCCCCAGGGCCAGGGCTACAGCGCTGGGACTTGCTGGCTCCTGAGACACGGGAGGACACAGTGAGGCACTTCTGGGCTGGTGACCAAGGGCTCTGCCAGCAGGGATGGTGTCTGGGACTCCTGAACAAGCTCCCTCAGCGGTGACATTTTCTAACCACCTAGAGTAACTAGTTTTCACTTTACTCCTTGAAACTCTCCAGGGGAGTGGAGGCCAATGGGAACCCAGAGCACTATGACCCTAGATCCCTGGGTCAGAGGTGGAAAGCCACGTGGCCCTCACACCCGGAGTGGCAAGAAGGGAGCCAGAGACAAGCTGATGGTCTTGCTACCTTGTGACAGAAGTTGCTCTATTTCTGAAGAACACAAAGCCTCCCTCAAGTCTCAGGGCCTGGGTTTCAGAGGTTCTGGCCAGGCCACATGGGGAGGGGGAAGGAAGACGGGGAGGGTGGAGGCAGGGAGGAGGGCTGCTTCAGTGCCAACATTCTCAGGTGGTGCTAACGTGTTTCCCACAACCCCCCAGGGTTCTGCAGCCTCTGCAGGGGCGGATGTTTCCTGCCCTTTGTTTCCACCCCCATCTGGCATTAAGACACTTGGGACTGGGAGGGAAGGCCCAATGGAACATCTTGGCATGGAATGTCAGAGGTGGCTTGGCAGGCTGACTGCCAGTTTGGCAGCTTTTCCTGAGGACAGGGCTCCCAAGCTTGTCCCTAGTGGCTGCTGAGAGGGGGACATTCAAAGCTTGGCTTTCCAATCATCTACCAGAACCTTTTTCTCCACAGGGACGCCACCAGCCCTATCAGCTATACAGACAGCATCCAGGGTTCAGAGGCTGACCCATACCACGGAGCCTGGGAACTCAAGATCTCGACAGGCCCCAGCTCCCACCCTCAGAATCAGAAATCTGGGAGGCCCGTCTGGGTTTTGTGGGCCAAAGAGTGATGGCGAGGAGACTGGGCACTGAGATGCTGACCCTGGGCCAGCAACCGATGACCTGACAGGAATCAAAGGCAGGAGCTGAGGGCTTGCTCTGGAGGGTCCCCGTCGGTCTGGCCTCAGGGTGACACTTGCCAGAATGCTACCTCGAACCAACAGAACAGTCATGAAAAACTACAAGGCAATCAGACCAAAGGCATCTAACCACTTCAAAATCCTCCCAGCCTCCCTGCCAGACCACCCAGCAGCACTGCCGTTATCTGCCAGGGCCGAGTGTTTACCAATAACGGGAACCAGCTTTGCTGTTTTACTGCACGCTTTATAAGGATAAAAACAAGGGCTGGGTTCATGCAGACTCTGGTTGCTGGGACACAGGAGTTCATTTGCTCAAAGCAGTGTAAGCCATGGATCAGCCATCATAATCTGAACTGCTTTGATTATTAAACAGTTGTCCTTGCCCCACACATTCCCTACTTCCCTGCAAATCCCGTCTCATACACACAGCAGGGCTCTGCCTGCCTGGCTCAGGCCGAGGGCCATGTGTGTGGAGGGTGCTGCCCACGTGCAGGCCGCTCTGGCCTTCCCGCCTGACTCACCGATGAGGGGCACCACCAGGATGTACTTCCTGCTCTCCAACAGCTGTGCCAGACTGGCCAGGTGGTCAATGAAGCCGTTGGTGTCTGGGACGAGGAACAAGGGTCTGATTTCGAGCTCCATCTGCCTCATCTGACTCTGGTCCTCCAGGACAGCCTGCAGGGACACAGACTGGAGAGTGAGCCAGTAAGCAGGAGGGTCAGGCTGCCTCCACCGGGTGTCAACATCCTGCCCCGATGAACAACAAACCCGTCAGGGCCTAGGCAGAGTAGTGCAGCAAGGACCAACGTAGACCAAATGGCCCAGGCAAGAGGGACTAAAAGTCATCCTGAAACTGAGGAAGGGCCAGAGACAGTGTCTAACAGTTGGCCCTGGGGTTAGAGACCAACCAGTACAAGCTGGGCTCCTTGGATGACATGAAAGTGGTTCACATGGGCAGTACAGAGATGAGTGCTTCCCAACATAGACATGTATACATATCCCAAACAGAATTTGGTATGTCAATTTACTGTGTAACTTAAAAGAAAAAAGAAAAAGTTAAGCTTACAGGCTGTGCAAAAACAGTGATGCTGACAACTAATAATTAATACCGAACAGTCTCTTGCAGCAGCCGGGGGCCACTGGTGTTGGTGAATTAAGACCTAGCTCATGTGTTTGCAAAGAGCAGCCCCTAGGGACTGCTCACAATCACAGCCTCCTTTCCCTTGACCAACGGTGGTCCCCAAACGGCGGTTCTGCTTTCCTCCTTTGCGTCTGCACTGACTTTGGGTCAGCGCACTTGTTTGCCTGACCGCTTCCTAAGCAGTGGTGTCTGTAGTACCAAGGATTTGCTGGACTAGTCACGTTCATTTTTTACAACACCAAATCAGTGTGCCTTCCAAGTGCCACTTACAACCCACGTCACGCAACCCCAGGGGTCTGAGACACTTCGGAAAGCGCGTGGCCTCCCACACGTTAGCCTGATTTTTGTGTCTTGCGGGAACCTCCAGGCACATCTGTGGAAGCCCAATCTTCCCGTCTGACAGAGCTCTTCCAGAGAGCGCTGGCTATGTCCAGCATTACAGAATGTGGGTGCTACTGCCTACTACTTCCTCTTCTAGGGACCAGAGCCCAGAGAAACTGACTCACTGGCATCTGCCCTGGTATACAGAGCCAGACACCAACACAAACCTGCCCGGAGTCAGGTTAGTAGTACCAGCTCTGCTCCACCCTCCCACAGCCTCCTACCACACAGCAACTTGCAGACACACTAGAGACGGCAGGTGCGAGGGCCGGGGGAGTGGACATGCGTGCCAACCGAGCCAAGGCTCGCGCCGGGCCCTGCCGCTAACAGTCAGCAAGGAAGACTGCTCAGGGTTCACCGACAATGACAGTAAAACTGAAAGGGCCTGGCTTCAAATGAAGGGGGTGGCTTACTCTGTGACCTGCCGGGGACCTCTCCCTATGAGTAAGGCGATGCTGCCACTGCCACCACAGCTGGTGGAAGGCACAGACCACAGGACGCTGGCAGGCCTGAGAAATTTGACTTGAGAGGCCCGTCTGGCCAAGTCTTCGTACTGCTCTCCCCTCCCTAAGGGGAAGTACCACTGCTGCTGGCCACTCCCCGGGGGACCTGGGCCATTCTCCTACTAACAGGGCTGCCAGCTAGAGGGTAACAGACAATCCACAGACGGGGCTTAGGTCTTCTGTAAGACTGGGGAACGGTCCCTGCACAGGTGAACGACTCCCTGCCCTTTCTTCTCCAGGCAGGCAGAGCACGCGCCCCTCTTCCTTATTCCTCCCCGGTCTTGCTATCCTCCAGCAAGCTCCCCGAGACTCCTGTACTTGACCTCAGCTCCCACTATCAACCGAGTGGAACTGGCTGCTTCCCCCCATGTGAACTAGCTTCCCAACCCACCTATCACTCTCCCTTTAGAGCTGGGAGCGGAGGTGAGGCCTCCAGCTGCACGGCCAATGGAAGCTGAGGACAAACTGAGCTCCCCGGGATGCTCTGGTACTAGACCGAAGCAAAAGATAGCTCTTCCTGCCCGAGTCTTTGCACTGCAGTCAGGGTGAGGAAGGTGAGCAGACCAGACTCTCAGGGAGGTGGCGGCCTTTCTGATTCCCTGGGGTGGGGTGGGGTCACATTGTGTGAGGGTGGTTGGTCCCAGGGACACCCGCAGACAACTTCCCTTAACCTGGCTCTGCCCAGTGAGTCACCACACAACTGCTTCCTGTTCCCCACATGCCCTCACGGAGTCTCAGAAGATAAAACGAAGTTGCCCCCTCTCCTGGGAGCACCAGTGGGTCTGGGGGCGGGGGGGAGGGAGAATGTCCCACATGGGTCATGCGTCTGGCTCTGTTTCTTAGCAAGAATGGCAGACAGAGGAAGGCCAGGAGTCCACAGGCACTCGTTCATGGTGTCTGCGTTTCCGGCCCTCTCCGAGTGGTGCTGTGTGTGTGTTTAGCATTTGCCCTCCCAACTTTTCCAGATTTTACCCGTCAGATTCCTGGCAGCTATGCACGGCGCCTGTGCCGGCCGTCACGTCCCATTCCGAGCTCTGGGTCGCACGGTGAGAGGAGGACACAGGATGCACAGGGAGTGAAAAAGTGATGTTGGTGGGGAGGGTGCCAAGTCCCCACTCACAGCCGTGGGACGCTTGGGGAGAAGGGGAAGCATGCTGCTGTGGAGTTCAGAGGCCGGTAGTGAGATTTATTTTTGTTTGTATGAGTAAAATGCTGCAGAAGCCTCTGGTGGGGGGTTGAGGAGGCGCCATAGGAATGCTGTGATTCAGAGAGACAGGCCTTGGCCCCGAGTCAAGTGTGCTGACCCGGAAGGAGAGTTCCACAGTAACTCTTTTAACCGGAGCTACGGCCGGACCATCATGACCCTTGGATGGTGTCCTGAGAACCCAAGGAATGCACCGACACCCTGAGTCAGACTCATGGCAATGCAGACCAACACGCCACATCACGTCCACCAGCAAAGACGGCCTGTCTCTCGAGGTACTAAGCCAGCCACTTCTCTGAGACGAGAGCGCATCCTCAGGCATGCTGGGGGAGCCGGGGAGAAGGGAGACGGTGACCTCAGTCAGGGACCAAGCGGCTTGGCCCACAGGAAAGAGGCTTAGTGTTGGGGTGACCTCCCTTCTACACAGTGGGAAGGCTCTGTGGTGCTGACCTGCTGAACACTGAGAACGCGGGAATGACAAAGGAAGACCCTGCAATGAGCTCAACGGAGGTTGTGGAACTTAGAGAGCCCAGATGACGAGGCCAAGCCCGAGTAGCAAAGGGCCTTCTTAGCATTTCCTTCTGCTGGGGGGCGCCAGGGGAGGCGGCCAATGGCCAAGGGGACAGGAGCGCGCAGCTATTTTCAGTCATCCTTGGGCCTCTAGCTAAAACAATGTTTTCACCCGAAACAGGTTTGATAACAAGCGCACACCTCACATGTGAAACATCTAGCAAAGTGCCTATAACGGCGTCCATAACCGAACCAGTATCAGTTTCCTCTCTTCCTGTCCAAGCCCACTTTCCACCCTCCATGAACCCTGGAGACAGGGAGCGGAACATGGGATGAGGAGAGAGAGGAGGCAGAGGACCACTGATTTCCATTACAAGAGTCACAGAAGAGTGTATGTATTAAGCTATGTGGAAGAGTGTGTGTGTGTGTGTGTGTGCGCGCGCATGCAATGGAAATGAATTTAAAAACCAGAAATACTTGGTGAGATCACCAGTTCCTTCTTGGGCCAGCAGAAACCAAGGCGGCAGGTAGCACCTCTTGCGGGGGTGGGGGAAGCAGGCCCGGCGCCAGTTTCCCAGGGAGAGGGGTTAGCATCTTCACTTGGTACGGCTCGCTAACGGCAGAACTGCTGCTCAGGGGCCTTCTCTGGATGGCCCAAGTCAGTACCACAGAACTTAACGCTGACTTGCTTTCTTTCAAAAAGCTGTCATTGTAACGGCGAGTTTGTTAGTTCTTGTTAGACTACCTTCTCGTGTTGTACTGTACAGCTCCATGTTCCCCGGAAGCTCAACAAGCTCAGAGTTGAAAGACAATCTGACAGAATTTGATCTGATAACGCTTGCTCTGAGCAGCCAAAAATGGGGCTCCTTTTCCAATTGGGGGGGGGGGCTGAGGGAGTGGGGAAGAGCTAAGCCTGGCCCCTCTGAGCTAGCTCCAGACAGCCTCAGGGTGTTCCAGCAGTGGCCTGGCCATTTTGAGGGAGGACAAGACCTTGTGGATGCTGCCAGAGCCAGGGAGGTGGGAGTGGCTGGGGCCAGCCGGAGGCCCGGCCCAAAGCCTGCAGGGATGCTGGAGGGCTGGGCAGACTGATGTGCTTTCCTGCCCTGGCGTGGACGTGCCCCTGGCCTGGTAGTGCGCTGGCTCCCACCCTGCCTCCGACAGTTAGGAGCCAGGGTTGAGTGTCTGCCTTCCGCTAGCTTCCATACAGGTGTGGGGGACTCTGTGGATGCCCCATTGTTCCACAATGACCCCCCCCCACCCCAGCTGGGTGGCAATGTGAATGGGCTGCAGCTATATTTAGAGTAACACTCCTGGGGCCACCACAAAGGAGTGACTGCATCTTCAGGAGGGGTGGGTGGGCGGGAAGGGGACAGGAGCGCGCAGCTATTTTCAGAACACATGTCATTGCTGGCTACAGAGCAAGACTGTGGCCATAATACCAAGGGGAACAATAGCTGTGGCCGGAGGAAGAGCCTGTTATGTTTCAGGTGGGATGTTTGCAACTGCTCAGGAAACCTGACCCCGCCCGACACAGCACAAATCACAGCAAAGCCTCCTGGAGGCAGCAAGGAGGCGGCCACAGCAGGGGAATCACAGGGCCAGCAGGAGGTGCCAGGAGGCCCCACCTCACGCATGAGAAGGATTTCAGTGACTGCTGGCCCAGGGGGCCTGGGCAGGAATGAAGCACTTCTGACCAATTTCCCAGACAAACCACGGACTCTCTCTGGTTTCTGGACACCTCCCAAGAGTGGCCAGGGGAGGGACACGAGGTTCACAGAAACCAGCAAGGTGGGCAGGACCTATCCGCCATGCAGTTGTCACAGGCAATGAGGCACAGCCTGGCCTCGCCCCGCCAGCATTCAGGGGCTTGCCTGGGCTGCTGTTCCAGCTGCACAGGCTCCAAGAGAGCTCCCCACACCCCTTTTCTGACCTCCAGTCGGCCCCACTCACCAGCCTCTGTGCAACGCCGGAAGCAGGGAGGGACAGGCTGCAGAGGGAGTCCAGGCCTCACTTCCCCCAGCCCCACAGATGAGCCTGGGCCCGGGGGTCTAGGTGGGAGCAAGGGGGAGGGCAGTGTGGCAATAGCCCCAGATTTCACTTGGATTTTACAACCATCATGGGGGCCAGGAGGACTTTTTCCAACCCCATCTTCATATCCCCTTCCCCAAACATGTGTGGTTCCTGTTTTGCTGCATCTGTAAAAGGCGCTGGGACCTGGGGACTTGCCTTACACCTCTCGGTTAACACCCCCCGAGACCAATGGAGTTCAGAGCAGTGTAATTTACAGTCCATCGCTTCGATCTTAATTCACCCGATGCTGCTTTCTTCCTTATTGTATTAGTGTGACCCAGGTACCTGCCAACAATAATGGCCTCTAGAGCTAGGAGCCTCCCCCACTCCCAGGACAATTTCTACCTTTTCCTTGGGATTTTTCAAAAAGAGGACAAATAAGAAAAGGTTAACATGGGTTTGGAGCGCTGAAGCCCCCGTGGTTCTGGGCAGGGAGCCAATGGCCCGAGGGCACACACATGTGCGCGCTCTCCCAGAAGGGCCTTCACCGGCCCTGTTTTACAGCCACCTCGGCACAGACTCCAGGGTTCACGCATATGGCCAGACAGATGTGTCTGGCTTACGTTCAAGGCTGGAAAATGAAGAATTATGGAAGTGAAGGGCCCCGGGCATTAAAGGGAGGGGGGAGGGGGGAATTTTTCCTCTGCTGAGAAATCCTCCTGTGGCTGTGAGGCTGGAGGAAGGAGGCGGACAGGAGGCAGGGCCGCCAACAGCGGTGCATGTGGGGCCCATTTAAAGGGGCCACAGCACCCTGAGCTCCGGGGAGCCTCCAGGAAACCCTTGGTGCTGGGGCCTGAGCAGTCTCTTCTGAGGGAGCTGATGGGGAGAACTGACCTAGAGAACAGGGGTGGTCATCGGCCCTGGCAGTCACACCTCACAAGGGACCTCCAACTTGTGAGGCACAGCACCAGGCTGAGGGAGGCAAAGCTGAGCCCGCAGCTCCGGGCAGAGGGTAGAAGGGTGCTGTCCTCTGCCTCTTCTTCCCAACAATACACGCTCGCCCCTCAAACCACTGGGTTACATACTGGCGCCTCTTGGTAGACAAGGGAGGGAAGGTGACTCTTGGGGCTCATGCCCGTGTTTTCTAAGCACCGCCATAGCAGATGTACGATACTCCTCGCCAACCTGAACTAAAGACCTGGTCCTCGATTCCAAGGAGTTCATAACACCGTGGGAGAAACAAGTCCAGAAAGGGCTGTAATCTCTATCCTTGTACTCCATAAACGAAGTATAAATCAAGGCTACAGGAACACCAAGCAGAGGGCCCCAGGGAAGGCTTCCCTGGGAAGATAGGGTTTCATCTGGGGATGGGAGCAGGAACAGAATTTCAACAGGTAACAAGAAATGTAGAGCAGGCAAAGGGCACTCTGGTTGGAGGCAACAGCACTAACACGACTGGAGAGCAGGACAGGGCAGGACAGAACGTGTCTAGGGGACGGTGAGCCAAGAGAAAAGGTTAGCAGTTGACAGGTGCTGTCTCATCTCAGCCTCACACCAACTCTAAGACACAGCTGCTATTGGCATTTTCAGTTTTTAGACAAAAAAATGGCTCAGAGAAGTTAAATCATATGCCCAGTGTCACACAGCTATTAAGATGCTCATGGGAGATGAAGTAGGGGTAGAAAGGACTAGAAAAAAGTAGGAATAACCCAAGGAAGCCATCATAAGAAATAAAACTGTATTTTACTGGCCAACCAAGGGCACTGATAACTTAGGAGCGGGAAGAGGAATGCTAAGACACCTAAAATGTACTGGAGGCAGAAGATGCCAGCCATGACCATTCAGATTGCAAGATCCACGGCACCCCTAGAGTTGACCAATGGCACCCCTATAGAGACTGGCTGTTACAATCCAAACAAGCACCGGGCTCAGAACAGTAGAGTGGCAATGGGAATAGAGAAAAGGGGCGAGAAGAAATGAGTGAAGAAACAGAATTTGGTAAGAAATTATATGGGAGGTTTAAAAGCCAGGGAGAAATTTGGGATGCTGCTCTAGTTGCTACCATCTACTGTGTCCCTGAAGAAATGTTTGCTGAACATCAGCTTGTTGAGACTAAATAATGACAAGGCAGGAGGACACACACACACACACACACACACACACACACACACGAGAAGGTGTGGAAGCTTAGGCGGGGAGTATGGCCAAAAGGGCAAAAGAAATCAAAGGTTTGTTGTGCTCAAGTGAAGCTGGAAAACAGCGTCAAGATTCAAGGATACCAGGAAGTCAACTAGCATGAGGCCACAAGATGACAAAGCCAGGTTCTTGGTGGGTTCTAGCATAATTTTCTGCAAGTGAACAGGAGGTCAAAGAATGGAGGTGGTGAGAAGAGAGAAGCTTTTGGGGAAGATTGAGGGAGAAGCAGTCACAGGGCTGAAGCTGGGGGCTAAGCCGACTTGGCCACAGCTGAGGTTGACAGGAAGCAGCACGGAAGCAGCCCTCACTATGGATGATGCTGGTCGAGGTGTAACACACTTGATTCTAGCAGGGACATGACTACGTCTGAGGGATGACGGATCCCAACTGGGATTCATTCTTCTTCCCAGGCCAGGGCTCTGTCTGAGGGGCTCTCTGACTAACGGCAGAGCCTAGTGCCCAGATAGAGCACATACTCCATAGTGTGTACCATGCCAGCACTTGACAGGCACTATGCCTCAGTTTGGTCTCACAGTGTATCTAAGGGCTAGGTGCAATTACCACTTTCACTATGAGGAAACAGGCTCAGAGAAGTTAACAACTTGCCCACAGCCACAGAGCACTAAGTGGGGAAGCCTGGGCTGCAATCCTTTTCTAGAAAATGATGGTGCTAAAGCACCTACCTCTTAGGCCCTGTGCCAAAGGAGAAGGGCAGCTGGAGAGATCTGAACCCAGACATTCCTGAAGAGGATGAGGAGGAGATAGCCTGATGTCTCCCCATGCATTCAGTGAAGGGAGATTTCCATAAGACCAGCCCTCCTCTGTCTCTGCTGAGCCCAAGTGGAAATGAGCTGGGATATTCAGAAAGAAAAACTTGTTGGAAACAAAGGCCTGGGTGATGCATAGGCTCATGGTGGAGGAAGTCCTTGTGTGGGGATTTAGTTTCTCTTGGGGTGGGAGGTGCAGGGGCTCTTTCATTACACTGGGAATTCAGACAAGTAGTACTTATGACAGCCTCTTCCTCTGAGAATATGCGCTCTCAGCTGAGACTCCTTGCTATCTCCAGGAATGTCGGATACAGCTCTGGGGGAACGGGGAACCCCTGAAACTGCATGTAAGACCACTTACGTGTGGTGGGCTTGAGTCTGTACAAGGGGCTTTCAAAAAGTCTGTGGAAAAATGGAAGGAGAAGATAATGGAATTTTTCCACACCCTTTCTGAATCCCTTATCATATTTATAGATCTTCACTGAGGGAGAAGAGTTCACCAGGCTCTCTGAGAAGATACTGACCTTACCTTGGAACCCAGGAAAGGGAGATTCCAGACATCAAATATGAAACCAGAATTTAGTAGTGGAGTACCCAAATGGGCTGGTGCTAGACTAGACAGGTCCCTATGAGACCCTTCCTGAGAGGGCCCCACAGATCTCCGGCTTCTTGCCCACATCCGCCTCCGGCTTTGCACAGACACCAGTCCATCGGGGGCCACCTTGCCTCACCTGGATCTTTTCCTGACGACGCTGCTGCTCCGCGATCTTCCTGGCCAGGGCCAGCTTCTTGGCCCGGAGTTCCCTGATGTCATCCTCGGCTCCGCTGCCGTCAGCCTCTGACTCTTCCCCACAGTCTTCGATCACCACGTCCTCCTCCTTTGGGTGGTGGTACGAAGAGGGGAAGAAGACACTGTGAGCTCATAATGGCATTTTCTGAGCCCACCTTTCTGCCATTTCAGACCCCCCCCAGGTTTACTGGGACCCCACCATGCAAAGGGCCCCAAGGTGTGTGTGCCCCGCTCTATGCAGGCAGAGAAGGGGTAGAGAGAAGCTGTCACTCGTCTACCCATTAGTAATTACTCAGGGGTCTTTCCTCTCACAGCACTCACAGCCACAGATGTACACTGCCAGGTTTGCACTCACAACCCTCATCCTTCTTGCACACTCACAAGATCAAGCTTGGGGCCTGTTTTCATTTGGAATCACCAAATTGGGAAACAACAGAGAGGGTTAACTATGCCATTTCAATCTAATTCAAGCTAATGATCTGATAGGAATCAACTCTGGCCAACAGTTAGCTGGGAGTTAGGCATGGACGCTTCCTTGCCACAGATGGCACCAGGGAGCAGATACTTTTGGCTAGCGGACCTTGCTCTGGTTTCCCAAGCCCACAGCCTGGTGGTGGTGAGGGGGCTGCTGGGCGCCGTTGTGGAATTCACAGGCCATGAACTTGCTCAGCTGCCCTTCCTGGGCTCGGCAGGGGAGGAGGTAGCTGCCTAGCTCCAGCAGCTTGCTGCCAGGCTGGTGGAGCAGTCCCCCAGGGATGGTACCTCCCCACACGCAGCCTCTGCTCTCAGAACCACCACTCTCCGGGTGGTCCCAGGCTCCATTCCTTTGCTCTCCCTCCTGGCCTTGGTCAGTAGAGAACATGCAGCTGGCTAAGCAGCCTCCTTGGAGGGAGAGGGTTAGTGTGGGTACATGGGGAGGGGTTTAGTAAGAGAAGAGTTCTGTGTCTAACTGGGTGATAACTGTGACCATGGTTATGATAGTAACAGCTACCATTTCCTGACCAGATACTGGGCAAAGCCTTGAAACAGATCCTATCATCATTCCTATTTTCCAAGGGAATCAACCAACGGAGTTAAATAACTTGCTCAGGGTCACAAAGCTGTAAAGTGGCAGAACAGGGATTCCCTACCAGAGAGAGCCAGACTCACAGCCTGTGCCACCACCTATTTTGGGCAGCAGCACTGGGCTCATTTCTCTCACGTGGTATACATCCTTGGGTTCCCGCCACTATTGCCAAGACTGCCTGAGTGTGGACCGGAAGGCCAGGCCCAGTCCTTGGTGGCTCCGTTTAGCCCCTTAGAGGCCTGCCCTGGGTCCGTTCAGTACAGACTGCTCTTTCCTCTCACTGTGCGACAGACAGTACACAGATGGGTTTTCTTGGCTGACACTGGTAGGGTGTGTGGGTGTGTGGGTGATGGGAGGTGTTTGGGCTTGGGTGGGGAGATGGGAGTTTTGGTTGCATCCCTGTGGACTCTGTTCTGTTCATCAAAGGTGGAGTCTAAAGCTCTTCTTTTGCGTCCCAGTCAGCCTAAGTGACTGAGTCCTAGAGTGGAGGGAGAAATGAGAACTGCCATTGTCCTAAAAGGTTTCAGGGGTCTATTCATAGTCACCAACTCATCTGGTAACAGGCATGCTACCGTGTCACACGGTTCTCCTCCAAAGAAGACCAGCCCTTGGGAAGGAGGAAGGCTCTCGACACACTTACTTCCCTATTCACAGGGTTAACCTTATTGGGAGTGAGTGCAACAGGATGCCTGACTGGCTCAATGGGGGAACCAGGTCTGCTCTGATCAGGGATCTATAGGGTTATCGTGGGGCCTGGAGGGAGCTTCATAGAGGTCAAAAGCGGGTCAGAGAGGCTTGTCTGAGGTTTGTTCAGCTCTCACAGCAAACGAGGAAGTGCAGGGGTTATGAAATTACACAGACCAATGTAAGCAGGGTTTCCCAGGGGCCACCAACATAAAGCAACCCAGGAGGCAAGTGGGAAAAGGAAGAAGTGGGTAGCTTGGTGTGGGCCACAACCCTTGTAACGAAGCCTTCAAACAGGGTGGGGAGTGTGGCACAGAGACCACCTGGGACCAGAGTTGTTTTGTTCTTTGTAAGAGAAGAGACCCTTCGGACTTTCACACTGTGCCCCTCCCTCTGGGCCTCACTTGCCTGACCTCAGGTGTCACCTTGCAGAGGGGGCAACTGTCTTGTAGCAACCCTGAGAACTAGTCTTGCTCATCTTCCATTGCCTGCCTGAGCCTCCAGGTGACAACGAGATACACCCGCTTCCCTATGCAGTGCCCAAGGCTTGGGTGGCACTGCTCTGCCCGCCTGAGGCCTGGCCACTCCAATGGCTTTAGCAAACTCATTGTCTCCTCCCATGCTGACAGCTCACTCTTTCCCGTTACTCCCTGCCCAGGTTTCATCTGGAAGACTCTCCCATCCTGGGCTCAGTTTTATCCCTGGAATCACTGCTGTCCTGGAAGCTGAGCCCTGTGTCATCAGGGGAGGGGTGGGGTTTCCAGTGAGTCTCATGAAGGCAGTCCAAGACTCCGCTCTGAAGACTCTGAACCAAAGGTGGCCACTCTATCACTGCCTCAGATCACAAATGACAGCTTCCAGCTGACATCTGGCTCGCCTGGCCTGTTGCTGATTTCATCCTCGCACCCCACCCTGCTTCACCAGGCGCTTGAGACCGCTGTGGGCCAAATGGCTGTGCTGGCCTATGGGTGATCTGGCCTCTGGCTAGAATCACTTCTGTCCCTTCCCCAAGTCCCACCTGAGTCCCCTCTGCCTTTAAACTGTGGGGGAAAGGAAGGCATGCTGAGAGCCTCCAGGTTAACGTGGGGTGTGCGTGTATATACACACCCAGACAAAGTTACTCACACCCAGGTGTGAGATACACAGGAGGATGGCTGGCAGTGATATTAAGCGCATATATGCTCTGAAACTGCCAAACACTCAAATCTACTCACACGGACCAAGAACCCACAGGCAGCCGAGAGCTGCAGCAGTGTTGAATGTAAACTGACATACACACCCAGCACAGATCGATCCACATCAACAACCACATTCAGAAAGATAGATGCACAGGCAGCAGGGTTGTGCATCTGCTGTGGTGCTTATGGGGTGAGGTACACTGGCACGAGAGAGAGCTTGAGCGTGCCTGTGTGTACACACACACACACACACACACACACACACACACACACACGGAGTGAAGCAAGGGATACAGGAACAACCAAGGGCAAACAAACAAGAGGAGAATTCCTTAATCACATCAGGATGTGCAGGAGGGAGGGAGGGAATAAGAGAGGGAGGGCAGGCTGAGGGAGGGGGTGATTTTCCACAGGGGCCAGCAATGACCGCTCTTCCTGTACGTGTGCTGGAGGCTGGAGTTCAGGCCTATGCTGCACTGCGCGCCACACATCTATAAACTTGATCCTCAGCCTGAACCTGAACACCCCCTCTCCCCACTCCCTTCCCTAAACCTCCAGAGCGGCACATTATTAAACTCTCCTTCTTTCCCTCCCTTCTCCTCCAATGCAACATGAAAACGAAGCATCTGGAAGTCGTAGAGGAGTGAGACGGAGGCACCGGGGTGGGACTGGCAGAAAGGGGCACCAGCAGAGAGCACTCTTGAGAGGCTGGCTGGTCACAGCAACACAGACGCAGCTCTGAGTGGTTATAAACAACCAGGAGATGCAGCGAAGCCACGAGCAGAGCAGGGCTGGGGAGGGGAGCTTCCCTCTGCCACCACGCTCTTCCCGCACAGTACCTCATCTTCCAGTTGTTTTCCCTCTTGGCTTCCCATTTCCTTTCCCATGGTGTCTGGGACGGGTGCCACTGACACATATTTTCCACCCTTGAATGCCAGCAGAGGCTCTTCTTGTCCACAAAGGGCTTCCAGAAAATACTTCAGCACTGTGACCCTTTTGCAGTCGGCTGCAATAACCTACAGGGTGAGAGAGAGAGAACAACAGTATTTGAGAGAGGGAAGAGCAACAGGGAAGATGAAGAAGGAGAGAGACTGCTGGCAGAGGGGCACATGAGAGATGTGGCGAAGTTACTGGGCAAGGGATGCAGGGTGAATGAGTGTGTGTGAGGGCACCAAGTGGGGGCCGAGGATCAAGATCTTTTCAAGTCACCACCACTTTTCTGGGGTACCAGGCAACCTCAGAACCAATGCCAGGGTCCTCGCATGTTTGCTCTTTCTTTGTTTAAAGTTCTGATTAAATAAAAAAAAAGTGGTTCTCTTATACTTGGTATCTAAGTGGCAGGAGGAGGGTGGAAGGCAGAGAGAAGGCAGGGCTTCATGGAGCACGCTCTCCTGTCCCCTTGCTGCCAATCCAGACTCTCCTCTCAACTTCCTTCTCTCCAGACTCCCCAAAGAGCTTGCAGCCAGAGTGCAAAATGAATGATGAGGCCTTTCTTCGCTGTTTCATTTCAGCCAGATCATGTGGGCTTTCCCTGACAGGTTCCTGCCCCACCTAAAAGCTCCTTGGGCTCAGGAGACTGGGGTCAGGCAGGAGACGATCAGGAGAAGGGAGACAGGCAACGCCGGTGGGGCTGTTTCACCAGCTCTCTACTTCTCCAGGGGTTCACACCACCCTGCTCCCATGTGGCCATATCAGTACACGAGCCAGTCTTGTCAGAAAGGCTGGGCTGATTTAGCTGAAATGAAATCCAGCGTCTTTAGCAACTGTCTCCAAAGTGTTCCTGTCTTAGCTGGAGCTTCCACAGCCACCCAGCCTGGGGTCCTTCTGGGTGACCACATCTGCATGTGCTCATGTCGGCCATCCTGTGAACCCTCTGCACACTCCCTTCACATCTCCTCGTTGCTGGCAGGGTGCTCACCCAGGGGGCTGGTGCTGGGAAGGAGGTGAAGGTCATATGGCATGGGGAACAAACACACTTCAATGGCCATATATGCCACATGGTGGCAGCTCCTTTTTCCTCATTGATTAAGGCTCTCCCTGTGCCATAGTCCTGCTTCTGCATCTCATAAAGTAAAACAGACTTACCTGCCTGTACTGTAGAATAAAGGGCCGTTGGCTTGTTTGCTCATTATTCTACGGGCACACAGGTGGTCAGGACCACATCTCAGATGCTCATATTTCACTAGAAAGGGGGCTCAGGGCACACAACAAGCACACAGTGAAGACTGGTGGGCACAGGGAGGCTGGCTTGGATATCATCACGTGGACAGAAAGCAGGCATGGCCCAGGTCCTCTCGGACGCTGTGGAAACTAGGACTACTCTGTCAGCTGCTGGCCAGGAACTCTTAGGAGACACCTGTCAACTGTGGGCTCTCTGACCCCAACCACACTGGCCACTAGACTGTGCCCAGGAGTGGTCTTTGCTGCCAGCAGCCCTGCTACCGCCTTAGGCCAGAATCACAGGCTTAATTCCTTGACCACGTCCACCTTCAAGGTGCTCGGCTAGCCAGACGAGGTTCAGGAGAGAAGAACCGCCTTGAGCTTGGGGGCCCAGTCCCAAGCTCACCTCCTGGGAGGCGGAAGGAAGCTCTCTGTGGGCCAGGGCAGGTGACGATGGGGCCCATCGCGTGTGTTGAGGCATGTGATGAGGAAGGCTAGAAATACAGAAGCAGGGGCTAAGAGGCATTAAAGAGCAGAGCTGAAATGAGTAATAGCCTGGCAGGCAGCACGCACAGTGGCTCCCTGCATCCCCAGCCTCTCACTCGCAGAGGAAACTTCTGCATTTCCACAAGACTGCCAGTTTCCTCTCTGTGGTCTAATTTTAACCACCTTGTCGTTACAGTGTGTGTCAGCCACCTGACCCCACTATGACCTCTGACCTTATGCCCTAGCTACTGCTTGCACTATGGAGAATTATGTAATGGGCCCAGGACTTTCCTTTTTGGTGTGAAGCTATTCCCACTGAATGGAGAGGAGGTGGGGGTGAAGTAGTCTGGGAATAGAGAAGCTCAAGCTGGGTCCCTGGCGGTGTCACCTTGATGGTGGACAGGAGGACACTGGCATCTCTGCTGAATGTGCAGCAGAAAACTGCCCGGAAGGGTGTGTGTGCGGACAGCTGTGTGCTTGCTGGAAGACAGGCAGCATTACTGTGAGGGGCGCAGGGGCGGCGGCAAGGTGTGCTAAATGGCTCAGGAAGAAGGCAGGATTCCAGGCCAAAAGGAGAAAGGCCACATGTGTGGACAGGGGCTGAGTGGAGACGGGGATTTCCAGGGCACAGCAGGATCCAGGGAGGTAGACATCCTGAGCCTGCCTGCGGCACATCCTTGGAGGATCAGTGGGGACTGTCAATCATGTGGACACAAAAGCAGAAAGGAGGTGCCCCTCTCCCAGCTTTATTTCATTTCCCCCTTATTTAGACAGGAAGAACCTGGCTTCCTTAGGGACTGGGTTGGCTATGGCCATTAGTCCTCGCCCTAGAGCAAGGGCACTCCTGACTGATTTTCAAAGGACACTGACACACTAGGTCTCTGGGCTGATGCTAAAAGGCCTGAAAGTGGCCTACCTGTTCAAAGAATGGTTACCCTGTTTTTTTGTGTGTTTTTTGGGGGGGGCAGTGTCCTTTCTCCTTTGCAATCCTCCCAGCAGGGTGAACATAGCTGGGTGATGTCACGAGGGCTCTATAGGAGAGCTAGCTGTGCAGGGCCTGGGCGCCCTATGTGGCAGAGTTGAAGGCTTGCCAGGGGCATAGCGAGCTGCCTTTGTCCAGGCTGTCTGCTGCAGCATTCGGCATGAAGGCAGGAGGAATAAGCTCCTGACCCTGGAGTGCTACAGCGGCGTATGGGAATAGACTCCAAACTACTGTCTCCCAGAGTGCGCAATCAGCCCTTGAGGAGTGGGCTGCACTGGGAAACCCAGGGAGGGCTCCAAAAGCAGATACCCATACCTTATCCTGAATTGTAACCTATATATAGTGCCAAAGTTTTTAAGTGCTTTGGGGGGATGCTGAGTAATTCCCCCCGACCCTGAAAAGGGGGCAGCAGGCCAAACAACTTTGGAAACTTATGTCCTAGATAAAGTCTGTAGCATTTGTCGGCGGCAAAAAAGTAACACCACCACTTAAAACAGTTTTAATATAGCTAATAAGGGATACTATGACAGGGGAAGTCCTTCAACTACCTACGAAGAGCAAACTCGAAGACTATTTTGTCTGGAGGAGCGGGGAGGACTTCCTGGTAAGAGAGGGGTTAGCCCTAGTCTACTTGCTCAGAGATGAAGGAGTCCAGATGAAGTCTATGATATAATTTCCACAATAACTGTTCATGAGCATGGTTTTCCATTCTAAATCAATGAAAACCAGAGCATGTAAGTGGTATGTATGTACACTGAAGCTCTGGGCATCTAGCTTCTCCAGAGGTGAAGAGCCGGGCTGCCTGGGGCTGGAGGTAGGTGAAAGGACTGCTGGTCAGGGAATACCCACGCGAGATCCGGGACCAGCACCTACTCAGGAGCAGTCATGGCCCTTGTGAGGGAGACTCACTGTAGAGATTACCATGGACCCTAAAGCCACAGACAAAACACTCACGCAAATTTTCCTGATCAGTTTAGAAGATAGGCTTTAGGTTGGGGGAGACCTAGGAGAAGGCGGCCAAAGAAAGTCCCCTCCCTTCTCCTGAAGCCCACCTGAGCTGGCTTGCCCCAGTAGTGGGAACTGAAACCTCAAGCTCGGGGCTCCAGTTATCACCCTCATCAGGTCCACACGCAAAGCACCGAGCAGAAAGGAAAACTGAAAGTGAGATGTGGTGAGGTGATACCGGAGTCTGCCCTGTCCCAGGCTCAGTTCCTGAGAGAGAGATAATATGAGCACACTACTGGGGCGGGGGCAAGCCGATAAGGGGGGGCTGGAACTATGGAGACAGCTCTGTTTGGAAGAAAGCAGGTGGAGAGAACAGAGAAGAGAGCATGCAGGCTGGGTTATCTGGTCTAGGGTATCGTAGGTGAGAAGGTGGGTAAGTCAAGAATGGTGTTTTCTGAAAACGGGCAGTTGTCCACACACCGTGGTCTAAGGACAGTGCCAGCAGGGGTCTAAGATTAATCTGGGTAGAGGTGCCCAGGAAAGAACAGAAAGATATATCTAGGCTGCCCTCTATGGAAGGACAGGGGAGGGGTGAGAGGAGAAAATAGGACTAATACTATTGAGCACCTCCATGTGCCAGGCACCACATACTGGTGTCCTCGCTTCAGATCAGCCATGAGAAGGAGACAAGCCCCTGCCCCAGGCAGGGGACCTGGGGTCAGCGGTGTTAGAGAGCTGAACCAGGAATTCTGGGATGAAGGACTCACTTTATCTTCAGTGTGTTCCCATTTTCTCCCAATAAGCCTCATGGAAGGCAAGAGCACCAACAGTTGCTAGTCAGATCTTTTTGTGAACTTTGGGTTTGGGGGAATCAGAATTTAAATTTAACACTATCAGCCAGTTTCAGTATTTTTCCCTAGTCATAAATAGTCTAGCTTGCTACTGCTGCTCTGGTTAAAGAGAAAAATCACAAGGGGTTTCCCCACAAACGCAAGTTTACAGGTTGTTTTTCTTGTTTCTCTAAGTGGAGCCAATTATTCTCACATTTGTTGAAACCTTCAATCAAACTTTATAGCTTGTTAATTTTACAGAATGTCCTTAGAGCAAATAAGATGCAGACAGGAAAGTGAAGTCTTGCTGAGATTATTAAAGAACCTTAAAATAGCCTACAAATCCACCACCAGAGCTGGTAAAATACAGGCTTGCTTGGCTGGCTTCTGAGGTCAATTAGCAATGGGTTAATTATCATCTTTAATGAGCCAAACCTACAGGATTGGCTACAAAAAATTTAACTCAAGACTATTGTGTTTTTACAAACTGGGAACCTCTAAGCTATACAACTTCCCCTTGAAGGAGCATGAAGGGCGGAAAACAGAAATCTGTGATTGCCAAGGGTGGGTCAGCTTGAGAAGGGGTCTGCCGATGCAAGTTCAGACACAAGAA